CCCCAAAACCCCAAAACCCCAAAACCCCAAAACCCCAAAACCCCAAAACCCCAAAACCCCTGGGATATATAATTTTATTGAAAATGAACATAAGAACTGCTGAAGAAGAAAGAAAAGATGAAAGAGGCTATTTAGAAGAACCAGGAGTGTACCTCGACCATAAATATTATATTTACGCACTGATAGTCCCCATACTGTTTGGTACAAGGGCGATTACTCTTGAGAAAACCCTTGCAGACCCTTATTGGATCTTTTGTATTGAGAATATGTTCGTTCTTGTGATATGCCTAGGTCTTACGCTTTCGCTGTACTTCTATATTGGTTGCTCAAGGATATCATTCATTGATTTCTGATTCAAATATGTCACTATATTCAAGATAAAAAGGGTCGTTCTGTTGGCGATTATTAGTGGATTTTGACTAGCGGCTGGGAATTTCCTCTTAATCCTTGCGTTTAATTTTAATGATATGTCACAAGGAAGTTCAACCCCTCTTAGCTGAGTTTTATTGGTGAGCACACTCATTTGATTATGGTTTGGTATTTATTTCTTCAATGAGCGTCATGCATACCGTCAATATTTGGGAGGAGCTATCATGCTGGCTGCAGCGGTACTCCTCACCACAGAAAGAGATTTTGAAGTAGCTATAGTTGTCTCAATCTACAAAAATGCTTATTTCATAATTTCACTTGTGTTAGGCTTGATCTCTTGTTTCTTTGTATCATGAGCTGTGATCTGTGGAAAATTTGCGATGTTTCATCACAATGCAAATCCTGTTGAGTTTGGTGTACTTTCAATGACATTCGCAAGTATCATCTCCCTTGCTACTCTTGTAAAGGTAATCTTATCATCAGAAGAGTTCATCACTGACCCAAAAACTAGCGGCTTCTTCACAGTAATCAGGATAGGTTTTCAAGCCTTATTGTACTGAGTTGGATACATTATATTCTACAAAGCGGCAAATCTCGGTACTATTGGTAGCACTCAGTTGTTCTATAACTGTAAAATTGCAGTTGTCCTGATAGAAGAGTTTCTAATCGTAGGAATTATTCCTGGAGTCACAAGGTCCTCTAACCTGGTATTTGGTAAGTAAACCTCCTAATCCCATAGAATTGATCTGCTTCGTGGCTCTCTTCGTGGGTGCCTTCCTCCTGGTCTTTGTTAAAGAGAAGAAAAGAACAATTGAGGATCTTTATGAAGAGTAAGCCATCCTGAGTCATTTTGTCTAGACTTGCAGCAGAAGAAAGAGATAAGAAGGAAGAAGAGGAAAGGAACAAGGTCTGTATATAATCGTAAAATTCCTTGTGCAATCTTAGTGAGAAAGGATGGGGTTTTGGGGTTTTGGGGTTTTGGGG